GTCTAATTTTCTTTAACGTTTTAATCTTGAAAACATACTCTTTAAGTGGGTTTAAGGATTACTATTTTTTTGATAAAGTTCTTTTTTCTCTTTTTTTAAAAACAGACAAGAGACGATCATTGAACCTAATCTATAGCGTAAATAGAGCAAATTAGTCATTACAAAAATAGAGATTACTTTCCTACAACAAACTAAAGGAATAACTAAACAGGTGAATTCTGCTTTGGAAAAAGGCGTAAGGCCCCAAGAGCTAGTGTGGTTCCTGAAAAGAACGCACCCAAACACATCTTCACAATGTCACTTTAGTTGTGGCGAGTTGAGCATTCATCCCAGAAACTTTCTGAAACAACAACGCATTATTTTTAAAGAGCTATAAATGAAATTCTAAAGAGTTAAACAACCTTAACTGTGTAATCTTCGGATCCTGAAGATTCTCCGTATGCACAATGCACCTCTGCAGTTTCTATATCTCATATTTTAGAGATCCTATTAAAAAAATTGCGCTATTACATTAGGATTTGACTGAATACTATTATGTTTTAAAGTAGTTCCAACAATATTCATTCTTTTTGTATTAAGAAAGAAAATCAATTTTGTGCAAATTTTGAAAAAACAAAGAGTTGAAGCTAGTCTTTATGCTCATCTTACTAAGTGGTGGATTTTTCTAGATTTATCAATTTTTAACTTTTGCACAAGTATAGTACAACTGCAGAAAGCTTATGTTATTAGTCAAATAAAAGTGAGATCTCTTTTATTTTCGGTTCATTACTTCATATCATTTCAAAGAAAAACTTTTAAGTACTATACTGGAGCAAAATCAGCTTACTTCAATTTATGCTTTATTGTGTTTTCTTAAAAAAAATTGGATTAATTGCGATTTACAGCTAGGAAAATGATTCTCTAAACCGACTTATATAAGATTCAACAAGTTTCTTAGTTAATATTTTTTCATCAAAAAGTGATAAAAAAAACATCTAATTTTTTTAACAACTATATAGAGATGATGATGTATTATGGAGAGACTTTCTACGCTCTTCATCTTTTATATATAGCATATTATATGCTACTATTATGTTCTTTTTCGCATAGATTTCCTAACGACCAAGCAACATTATGGGGGTGATTGGGAGAGGCTTTAAGGGCTCTAATTTTTTTAAAAAGTTTTAAAAGCTAAAAATTTACCAATCACAATTTTAGGACTTTATTTTTTTTAAAAGCTTTTAAAGTCTAACTGCCCACTTCTTTTTTCTCATGTTCAATTTTCTAAAGTCACAAATATGAGGCTTTCAAACAAATAATAAAGCTTCTAAATAAATAATAATTAAAAACTTTCTTTTTTCTTCTCTCCACAATAATTAGAATCTCCTTACATGTTTACATATATTGTTTCACAAATATTTTTTGATAAATTAATTATTATCATTTTTCAATCTTTCTTTTAAAATCCATTTCAATAATAATCATTTTATTTTCATAATCACCATTAATATTGGTATAAAAGAGTTTATAGAATAATATTTTCAATAAAACATATACTTTCATATAGGCCATTCAATACATATTTCGTTTATTTATTGAGAAAATGTTTATACTCATTTATTTATGTATTTTTGTATTTTTCTAAATTCTTATCATTAATAAAATTATATTGTCACATTAATTCATTTATAACATTATTTATATTTATTATGAATATATACAATTCTAAAAAATTAACAGTCACAGCAATCTTTAGTGTCTAATCGCTAAATTGCCAAGCCTTAACCGAGACCGATATGAAGACATATATGTTGGTCCAAAAGTTCTGATGGAAATTATCGTAAATTATATATACTAGATGAATACCCACGCTACGCGTGGGTTTGTTTTAAAAATTGTGAAGAAAAAATTATTGATTGTTTTTGCTAATTTATGTTTATTTTTTATTTGTTATTATGTAGTTAATAAAACTATATCTATCTTATGTAGTTACAATTTTTAAGATTAGATCTATTTTTTTACTTGAAATATAACCCGGGAAAAAGACTTACTTGTCAGCGGAGACCTCTTGCTTGTTCCCGTAATATCCTTCATCGTCCTCATGGCTCTTCTAGTTGGTCAGAAGGTACTTTATCAGCTTTCTCAATATCTATTATGGGAACAATATTTTTTTTATCTTTTTTGAATGGGATTCATTGAACTCTCTTGTTTATATTTTCCGGGGATATAAAAGTTCTAGCTGCAGTATACGGACCTAAAGCAGGAACGAAGAAGAACGAAAATGCTGAGAAGGCTTGTATTGAAGTCATATGGAAGCCTTAAAGCGGATAGATTGGTAATCGTAAATGCGTTTAGTTGTTCAGAAGGAGGCTTGTTTTGTTGCTTGAGTATGTCATACAGGTGATTCTTGGTTTTTAGATCTGAATTACTTTTGCTTTGAATATTGATAGGAAAAGTTGAAAGGGAGTATGAAACGATACTGAAAAGGACGCTACAGAGTATTTGTGTTTTGACAGTTGTTCCAAATACCACCACCTTAGTGATAATTCAGGTGAGTAGCTATTCAATGTTGTGTATATCGATATTGTCAACTTGAGTTGTATCTGATGTTTTCATTTTGTAATTTCCGTGTAGGTTGTACATGATGGTGGTTCTGTATCGTTTTTATGTTCCTTGCACCTTGGTAAATATTTACTGATGCTGTCTGAAACACATATAATCCGGTATAAACAATGTCTATTTGAGTATTTATAGAGTTTATAGTAGTGAAAGTTTGTAATCCCATAAGCTGAGAGTGTGAATATGTTTTTGTGTAACTTCTACCGTGGCCTCCATTCTGACAGTTAGAAGGTAGAAAACGTTTGTTCTAAAGAAATATGATGTACATAAAGGGAGACTATGAAGGATGAAATTTACGAAGTTGAGAAATTTGCGTTGAGATTCTTCTTCTTTCATATTGAACGATCGAGCAGAGAGTGTGAGAGATTTATTTTGTTAAAGTCTTGTGGGGAATTAGAATATTTGTTGGGTTTAGAAACATTAAGTCATCACTAAAATGGGCTCGACCCATTAATATTGCACTCTAATAGATTCTAAAACACATATGGCCCATCCGTTATGGGCTATTTTGTTTACTCCATTTGACACTTATAATTAGAAGCTGATGTGTATTAATGAAATGTTTTGATTGGACGAATAAAAAGCTGATGTGTCATCTCCAGAAGAGCCAAAAATGCTGACGTGGCGGAAAAATGGAGAGAGATAGCCTCCTTTCATATATATGATTATCTACGAATTTTTTTCTCTAATTTTCTTTTACTTAATTGGTCCTTTTTTAAAAGGATTGGGCTTCTTCTTTTCTGGAATTTTCTTTTGAATTGATTGGTTTTAACTTCATTCATTTTGTTATCTATCTGGGTTGCATGTGCTAGATTCATTAGTGTAGAACTTCTACATACCTGGAACCGCTACAAAGACACGTCTAATATAGCCAAGATTGATTTGTCTCCAAACTATTTCAATGCTGCTTTCTACGCTTAAGTAAAATCTCTTTTTGATGTTATTACCGATGAATCATACAGACTTAATAAGCGTCCAAATTTAAATGTTCTTATTTGATTTAATCTAATTTCTCAGTTAAACCATCTAACTAAACCAAATAATATAAAGCGTACATATTTAATCTTGGTAAAAAGAATGTTCAAATATTTATAATATAAGTTGATCAGAAAGTAAAATATTTTTAATATGTTAATTTGGCAAAAAGTTTAAAATATTATAAATAGAAATATCATATATATTTAACCTACATCAAATATTTTTTAATATTGAAAACAATTATAGCTAATGTTAAAACTTAGTCGAATATATATATTTTAGTTGTTAAGACCTCAATAAATATCTTATTAATTTATGAAAATTTATTATATTTTAATAGCATACGCATTGATTCGCAAATGTTTTTTTTTTTTGATAACTGTAAATCTCTAGACCTATGGAGGGGTTTAGGACTAATCCCTGGGGAGAGGGTATCCCACAGGTAGGGTTCCCTCGAGGTTTTCAAATGTGCTGTAAACAATGGGCCCATACTCATGTGGCCAAAGGGATAAAACTAAGCAATTCTGCGTCTGAGGATAATCGATCCCTGACCTATACCAACAGGGTCACTCTTCCACCAGACTAGAACCACTAGCCCACTACTAGACTAGATCCGCAAAATTTGTTATCATATTGTAAGACAAATTAATATTAATGTTTTCACGACGGCAGTCAACGGTTTAGTTTATTTTCACACTCATAAATATGCAACTACACCAAGGGTTGACCATTGGTTGACCAAGGGTTGATTAATGCTTCTACACCAAGAAGTCTGGGGTTCGAGTCCCAGATATTGCGATTTATTAACAAATTTGCAGATTAATGGAGGCAAGTGTGCAAGAGATCTCCAGCGATGTACAATTATAGCCGTTCGCCAGGATTCTACGCAGAGAAGGAAGTGTCGCCAGGTCGTGGATCATTGAAGGTATTCATCAAGATCACGAAGAAGGAAGTGTAGTCTGTCGTGGATCTAGTAAGGGTCGGAAGGAATTGGTCAGTTGTAGAATCGTCTATGTAACAGTTCTCATAATTTGCAATTAATAATAAATCTAGACGACAAAAAAAAAAAAATATGCAACTACATTCATAAAAAAAAAAAGCGCAAATTCTGTTATAAAACCATATAATTTACTTGCTTGTTATGATGTCGACATTGAACATGTACTCCTATGTTAATTGTTACACATATATGTTATATAATATCATTTACAATCACAAATTTTCTTAAAATCAAATACCACAAAATTACTTTGTAATTGCTCACAGGGTACAAACCCAACAACATATATTACTTAGTTTCGACATATATGTCATATATAATATGTCATATATAATACTAATCGTAATAGTAATGGTCCATTAATGCAAAATCAAACAAAGTAACAAAAAAGTTAAAAAGTTAACAAAAAGAGTCAAAAGGTGAAAATTTAACAATGGTTTTATTTACTGACAACGAACCTTCTTTTAGGTCCAGAGTCTCTTCCTACTCTCTTTCAAAACGAACTCGCCGTCGTATTCGAACTACTCGCCGTCATTTGATCAGTCTCCGGCGATAACGGCGGAGGAACACCATGCTTCAACAATCCAACATCATCACCACCGTTCACATCAATCTCCACCACCACATCCTTCGAATCTCTAATCCCTTCCTTTTGAATCCCTCTCAAAATCTCAACGATCTCATCCATCGATGGCCGTACTTCTCTCTCTTGTTGCAAACACCGGAACGCTAATTCAGCAACCGACGACATCATCTTCTTCACCGAAGGATCTCTCGCGAATCCGAGTGATAGATCCGCGAGCTCGTGAACGGCGTCGTTTTGGATTTTCGAAATCGCCATGTTCGCTAGGTTAATATCGTGGCGGTGTCTGGTGATGTCGACGGCTTCTTTTGATGAGATTAGTTCGGAGAGGACGACTCCGAAGCTGTAGACGTCGCTCTTCTCGTTTAGACGGTAACATTGATAGTACTCAGGATCTACATATCCCGGAGTACCTTGTGGTGCGGTGGAGATATGAGTTTGATCCGTAGGAAACAACCGCGAAAGTCCGAAATCGGCTACTTTCACTTGGTAATTGCTATCTAGAAGAATATTAGTAGTTTTGACGTCTCTGTGTATGATCCCTGAAATAGAGAAGTTATCATCACTAATCTAATCTCATTGTGTGTGTATGTGTGTGTGTTTAGTTTGTGTTACCTGAGGTGTGGAGATAGGACAATGCGCTTGCAGTTTCGATGGCGATTTGGAGTCGAGCAGGCCAACAAATAGGGCGAGATTGTGCTTGGTTTCCATGGAGATGTTCAGCGAGTGTGCCGTTGGAAATGTATTCGTAGACTAGGAGTAACTCTCTGCTATGTCTTGTTGTGCATCCGTATAGAATCACTAGGTTCGGGTGTTTTAAGGACTTCAAGATATCGATTTCGTTCTTGAATTGTTCTACGCGTTTTAGTGATCTTTCGAAGAGTCGTTTTACAGCTACAGCTCGTCCGTCCTTTAGTGTACCGTAGTAGACAGTTCCGAAGCCTCCATCTCCAAGCTCTTTAGAGAAATTATCAGTAGCTTCTTCGAGTTCTTCGTAGCTGAAGACTTGAACTCCAAAGTAGACGCTTCCGTTTGCAAGGTTAGACATTGAAGACACAAGAGAGTGATTGCTGCCGGATATTGTTGTGGAAGTTGGAGTGTTTGACATTGAGTAAGTCGTTGTTGTTGATAGGCCTTTGCTTGTGTATTGTGCTGCAAGTTTCTTCCTTCTCCGGATGAAGATACAGAACAAACATCCGCCTATAAGAGTGGCACCCAAGAATCCAGAAGCGAATCCAATGCCTAGAGATAGACGAAAAGACAAGAGCTTCGTATTATTATGCTGTTACTTAGGTATGTTCTACTGAAATTAGTTTCGTTGAAAGGAAAAAGGATGGACACCACCTACCTATTTTCGCTTTTTTGGAGAGACCTGCATGAACAAATATGATGAGAAAAATGTTAGTACAAACACGAGGCAGAACTTTGTAGAATCGTGCGTAAAACAAAGCTTGAAGAAGAAAGGAAAATATCTGGTTCGTATGGAAGAAGATTAGCAAATCAGATTCAGACACATTGATATTCATATTAACTTAAGTTAGTTGGAATTTTCAGAGAAACAGAGCAAGAGGAATCATTACTCTTCTTTCTGGGATAGCAAGTATGCTCTCGAGGCTTATCTTTACAATAGCAGACGAATTTTGTCGAGCTCCAGCCACAAGCACCCCCTGATGTTACACATCGGGCACACTCACTGTTAAAGCTAAGTTCAAAACCCTCATTAAAAACATCCTCCAGACTCTGATTTTTATCTGCTGTCTTCAAGGCAGATTGAGATACTGGAATACCGACGTTTCTTTCACAAGATGCATTTAACCGACCTAAAATAGCACTATCCCCAGAATGTGACGAGAAAAAGTAACTTCGACTACCAATTTGATCCTTACAGTTAAGCTGTCTAATGTCATCATTGGGTTGAACATCTACCTTTGGATAAGGGCAGTCGTAGTAAAAAGTTGACAGCTTGGTGTCGTTAGAAAACGGAAGGACATCTTGGTTGATTGTTGCATTCACAGGATACCGAGGACAAAGATTGTTGAGATAATCCGTTCTGGCAAGTCTTATGATATGAGACTCATAGTTCATCTCAAGGATTCGGAACTGCACGGAGGATATACTAAACTCCACAAAATCTCGGCTGCACTTGACCTCGAAATCTGGGTGACCGCACTCTTTTCTCTCAGGTGTCCAAAAGGGATAATAGAGATCCATATGATAACCACAGCTAAACGGATGAGCGCAGCGACTGTGATGCTCATCAACTGACAAAACACAAGAGGGGATCACATAGAGCATCCATATGATTGTATAGGACCAAGATTTTGTAAGTGACTGAATCAGATTGATCATGGTCCTCTCTGTTTTTTTGTTTTTTTGGAGATGAACAAGAGACTGAAGAAGAAGAGGTCAAAGACAGTTGAGGAATTGGTAAATTGTGTTTGTCTAAGCCATGGTTTTATATGAGGTGAAAGAAAAGTAAGGTTTCTTTTTCTTTGTTGTTTATCTAATAGTAAATTTCCTATGGGAAATTTCTTTGGAATTAGGTGGGTTAGGAGGACTAAGTCTTCGAATAGACTGATAAACAATCAAGATATTATTTAAAAGATTTTATTTTGCTTGGTTGTTATTAAACTATTAACTTCTAATTTATTTTATGTTTGTAGGATGACCTTAAAACAAAGTGCCGGTGCAAGAACTTTACTTGGAAAAGTCAGGCAAAAAGTAGAAAAGGGGATAAAAATAGACTAATGAAGAAAATCTACAAAGGGGTTAAAAATGGACTAATGAAGAAAATCGACTTGACCGTAATTTGGCCCTCCACTTTCTTTGTCGGTTTCAGACAAATGTCATGGCATCAAAAGGTATAATGCAGAGGATGAAGAGTGGAACAAGATAAAGACTCTTTAGTGTTTACCGTGGAAACTGGACGATGTTGATGATGAAAAAGAAGGAGACAATTTCATGGTAAAGAAGATTTTCATACCCTGAAAATGACTTATGGAAATTGTTTGTTTATGTAAAGTTGTTGGAGACAGATCAAGACTTTTAGAGCGCTCAAGTTTTAACTTTCTACCTTCTCTCTTGAGCTCATTAGGAAGTAAGGTATGTCTTTAACACTGCTAAAACCGACAGAGAAACATTAAAAGAAAAAAGAAAATCGTGACTTGGTTTAAGGTACTGTGAAAAGTGTTGTCTTATATAACTTAGAACACCGAAGTATGAGCTGCATTTCTTGGTGATTAGAATGTTTTATATGCTTGGGGATTTCCAAATACGCACCGTAGGGGATTTTAGTTTCTGTATGTGTCATAGTGGAACTAAGAGGGTGTGTGTAGATCGGCAAGTCTTGTTGAGACTTTATGAGGAATCTGTTATTTTCTGGTTTAGTCCTGTTGCATTGTAGTAATACTGCACAAGTTTGAAAAGGGAAAAACTTGAATGCTATACGTAAGAAACTTGCTTATAGTTTAGAAACTTACCAATATTAGATCCTGATGGAATCATTGGGATGCATTCGAGTTCTGATGACGAGTTTATCTTGCAGCAAACTGGAGTTGCAACATCGTAGGAGCAGATTCCAGCAGTGGATTTACATTCTTGACACGGTCTCTCATCAATACTCAGCTTCACCTCGAATCCTTTTTTAAGAACTCTTTCCAAATTGGTTACATTCAAACCTTCCTCCTCTGGGGCATAACCTATAGGAACAGTGATATTGAAACTCCCACCACAGTTATTGTGATACAAATCATCCTGATACATCAAGCCAACACCCTTATTTGGACATGTGAAATTCGCAGGATAATGAAGATGAGGGTTGCAGAGGTAGTAAGCGGAGAGGGTCTTGTAGTCCGGCAAAAGCTCAAAGAGTTCAGGAGGCAACGTTGCACCGCTGAATGAAGCCGAGCAGAATGGACCTGAAAAGTCTTGCCTTACTAATTTAAGAGTAGTACTATTTGTGATATTTACTTCGAGAACACGGTACATCAGACCTGAGATGATTAGAGAAGTCGAATTTGATTGTTTATTGCAGTGAAGCCCTAAAGATGGATGACCACAAGGTTGAGGCCGAGCCACTCCCCAGAAAGGGAAACCGGCTGTGAGATTCCCACAACGAAACAGAGTATCACATGGTTCTCGTTGACTTAGAGCACAAGGAAGAAGGTGAAAATAGGACAAGAAGAAGAGAAGGACCAGAAAAGAATTAGGTTTTGAGAATCTGAAGAGTACTGGAGAGAACATGATTGATATCTGAAAAGTAGTTTCTTTTTCTTGAGTTGTTGGTTCGAGTTAAAGCAGAGTAGATAAATGATTAAACGAAAATAAACCAGAAAAAAAAAAAAAAAATCAAGTGGAGACAGAAAGAGCTATTGGAAATGTCGAACCACGACTAAGTCAAGATTGAGAAGGACAGATACTCATATTCTAGACTTGGATAAGTAAATGACACGTCTTTGTTAGTTGACTTTTTTTTTGACAATTAGACTCCATATATTAATTCACGGATAAGAACTCTCTACCAGAGAGAGCTAATCGGGTACCGTCGAACTTACATGGGAAAAACAAAACCCGCGAACTCTTGCACATTTCGCAAGATGGTCGGCGGAGATATTACCACTACGAGGGATATACTTAATACTAAAAGTAGAAAATAAGTCTCTGTAATACATAAAATCCCTCATCTCTGTAGAAAAAGTAGGCCACTCTTCGGGGCTAGAAGTCATCTCAATAAGATTCGAACAATCCGTCAAAATGAGGATACTAGTCATCGGAATCGCTAATAAGCACTTCATTGTCCACAAGAGAGTCTCCAATTCGGCATGCAAGGAAGAAAGACTTCTGCGTGAGCCCTTTAGTCCTACGTGTAATAATCTTCCTCCACATGAAACAATCCAGCCATGACCATTCCTAGACTCCTCCCCATGCCAAGATCCGTCAATAAAGCATACCGGTATGTCCGCTGGAATTGGCGACACTTGTACTATGGGGTTCCTCACATGTTGGGGCTCTTCTCGCTGGTTTGCTCGCCTCCAAGCCTCTTCCTCTTGGATTGCAATATTCAAAGTTTCCTGAGGCGGTTCACTCAAATTATCGAAAATCTTTCGATTTCTCGCCTTCCAAATGTACCACATGATCCAAGGAAATACTCTTAGACTCTCCTCATCCGAACCTGCCTCTTTACCCCGCCAATACAAATAATCTAAATTATTGTACATCGAAGGTGAGGGGAACAAGGCTGGGTATGATGGGATATTGGAAAGGGCCCAAACTTGTCTAGCTGGAGGACATTCAAAGATCAAGTGATTAATCGTCTTTTCTTCTGCTCCACATCGAGGGCATCCTTTATCTCTACCAATATGGCGATAAAATAGTCGTTGGCACGAGGCCAAACAACCTGACACACATTGCCACACGAAATGTTTTAATTTTCGTGTAGTTTTTAATTTCCAAGCTTGTGCCTTAAGTGCCGTAACACTAGGTCCCTGAGAAGGGTGGTCGCAAACAGGACGAGAAATGGTTCTCGCGGCCTCATATCCAGATTTGACGGAGTAATTGCCCGACTTTGTCATGGTCCAACTATATCCATCACTCGAGGCGTTAACGCTCGATTTTATCCCTAGAATAAGGGTAATCTCCTCCGGTGGGAACAATTCCCGAAGACGTTCTATTTTCCACTGCTTCGTTCCAAAATCGATCAAGGTATTGACGTATACCAATGGGTCTCTCTCCATAGAGAGTCCCTTTGGGGGGCGAGCCGGTGAATCAGGGATCCAAGGATCGGTCCAAATGCACGTCTCAAACCCATAACCAATAGTCTTGCGGATTCCATATTTGAGGATGTCTTTGGCGGCCAACATACTTCTCCAACCGTAAGATGGCCGGTTAGAGACTGTGATCTCTAATGGGCTACTATACCGGAAGTAACGTCCTTTAAGGACCCGAGTAAGGAGAGATTCCGGAAATCTTAGTAATCTCCATAATTGCTTCGCTAATAATGCGAGATTAAAATCTTCCAGGTTCTTAAAGCCAAGGCCACCTTCTGACATTTGAGTACAAATTTGATCCCAGGCTATCCAGTGTATGCCCTTACTGTCAACTTTATTACTCCACCAGAAGTTGGCAATCGCACTACTAAGTTTGGAGCATACTGCTTTTGGCAATAGAAAACACGACATTACATATGTCGGAAGAGCTTGTGCCTGAGACTTAATTAGGACTTCTTTACTGCCTTTTGAGAGAAATTTTGAGGACCATGAGTTCACTCTCGTTTGTAATCTATCCCTTACGAACGCAAAGACTTGGGCCTTTGAACCATGTATTTTTTCTGGAATTCTTAAATATGTCCCCATTCCTCCTTCCCTTGAAATCCCAAGAATTGTTTTGATTTCTTGTCTTAGAGGTGATGGGACCTCATTACCAAACATAATGGAAGATTCGGAGAGATTAATCTCTTGTCCTGATGCCCCGCCATAAGAGCGAATAATATCGATAACTTCTTTACTCTGTTGGGCATTTGCTTGACAGAAAAACAAGCTATCGTCGGCGAATAACAGGTAAGAGACTCGAGGGCTCGCATTTGAAATCCGTAGACCTTGAACTTTGCCCTCTCTCTCGGCCTTTTTAATCAGAGCTATAAGTGCTTCCGTACATAGAATAAACAAGTACGGAGAAATGGGGTCTCCTTGACGTATCCCCCGCGATGGCCGGATACGGCCTTTTGGCTCTTCATTGAGCAGGATGCGGTAAGAGACGGAGGTAATACATTGCATAATCCAATTAACCCATCTATGATCGAAACCCATCTTTTCTAGCAGGGCTCGTAAAAAAATCCATTCGACTCTGTCGTAAGCCTTACTCATATCCGTTTTTAGTGCCATAAACTTTTTCCTGTTTATCGGGTTAGAGCGTAGTGCATGGAATTTCTCCTGGGCGATCAAGATATTATCAGTAATTAGTCTTCTCGCAACAAAGGCAGATTGTGTCTCGGAAATCAACTCCGGAAGGAATCTCTTTAGGCGCAAACTCAAGATTTTCGAGATTACCTTATAGCTCACATTACATAAGCTAATAGGACGAAAACCTGACATTTCACGCGGTCTCTCTCCTTTTGGGATAAGACAAATATTGGTCTCATTCAGTTTCCCATCAAAAATACCGGAACTCAAGAAATTCTTCACCATTTTCTTCGTTTTATTTGTAAGTCATTCAAAAAAACAAAGCCATTCACTGTGGAAAATCTTGTTAACGTACAAGAAAAACTATTTCAGACAAATATTTCTAGGAGGAAAAGTAATTAGAGTTGGAATCTAATTTTATTCATACTGTGTTATGTAGAAATAGCATTTTACGTTTGTTTATACAAAAATATGACAACGACTATAAGAAATATTAAACGTTATTGGAGTATAGAAATTGGCTCACTCTAGTCAATGAGAATGCATTATTGGCTAATTAATTCTATAGAATTAAAGTTAGAAGGTTGACTTCTTGGCATAGACTTCATATCGATAGAAGAAATTGAAGATGAGAGAGCCTTTGGAATTGTGAAGAAGATGAGTGAAAACTCCACATAATTGAAAAAATAAAATCATCTTATTCTTTATGACTCTGCAATGTGTAAATCTAACGGATATATAATTCTTTTTGTACGAAACTATTAGTGTACAGAGGAACATATACTAGGAGAATTCACTACAGGTAGTCCCGGGTGTTCGGTTATCGGTTCGGTTCCATTCGTTTTCGGTTCTTTCAGTTCTAAAATTTAGTATCTATTCGGGTAATTTGAAATTTCGGTTCGGTTTCGGTTCGATTCCGGTTCTTTCGGTTTTAAAATTTAGTATCCATTCAGTTATTTTGCTTTGGATATTTTCGGATATTTCAGTTATTTTCGGATATTTTTGGATATTATTCCATTATATTCGAGTATTTTTACTATTTATATATATTTTTCAAGTATTTTTGATTATTTGGTTTATAAATAACTAATATTTTTGAAAATATAATTGTATTTCGGATATTTCGGTTACGGTTATTCCGGTTATAGAATTTAGTATCTATTCGGTTATTTTTAAATATTCGGTTCGGTTTGGTTCGGTTTTTTTGCTTCGGTTTCGGTTCGGTACATTCGGTTCAATTTTTTTGCCAGGCCTAACTATAGGCATGAGTAGGCCTAGGCATATGGGTAACCAGTTCGGGTTCGGGTTAAATGGGTAATGAATTTACGATCTATTCGGGTATTTCTAAACATTCTGTTCCGGTTCGATTCGGGTATCGTCAGGTTTGGGTTGGTCTGGGTAATAATTTTGAGAACCGAAAAAAAACCCGAAAAATTCGGCTCTCCATTGGGTTCGGGTCTAAATGGGTAAAATTACTCATAAACCCGAAATGTGTCTCCATTACCCCGAAGTTTAAACCATTTTACATGCACAAAACATCAAATAAAAAGAATAGAACATAAACATGACATCTAAATCCAATCCAAAGTCACAATGATTAATACTTAAGAGTTAAGAGTAGAGAAACTCGAATATGAATATGAAAACATAAACCGATTATCCAAAAATCAAAAACATTGAACTAGATAGAAATAGAAGTAGGATTGTAGCCTTGTTGGAAGTTGATAGAAGGAAACTCAGTCGTCAAAAGATAGAGCATACAAAACTATATAAGACTATATGACTATATCTATATACGTATATAAATGTATATGTCTTGAGCTTCGGGTTTATGGATACCCTATATGGGTAACAGGTAATCCTCGACCCGAACCGATACCCACAGATTAACCAATACTCTACCCAATGAGGTAATTTCCTAATATCCTAACCCGCTTCAAACCGGTTTTTTCGGTTCGGGTATCGGTTCGGATATCAGGTCCGGTTTTTTTGTCCAGGCCTAGGCATGAGTTGATTTTGTGGAAATTAAAGCTATTGATTATTGAATAATGACACTAAATTAATAAGGCTATAAACTATAAATAAACATCATCTGCCCACTGATTTAAGGTTCCTGGGCTTAAAATGGTATGGGCCGATCCGGGCCTGTTTGGCCCATTAGAACATCATCTGCTTAATTATAGCATCTCTCTTTCTCTTGTACTCATGTTTAAGTGGAATAAACGTCACTCTAATCGTTATCAAATAAATCTGCATTTTTAAAAAATGGCGAGAATCCTAAATTGTTTTGATATATGATTAAAATTGTTTATTCTAATTTCGTATACCATTATTATAGTTGGTTAGACGTTCGGGTATTCGGATCGGTTCCATTTGGTTTTTGTTTTTTCGGTTATAAAATATATGATTTATTCGGATATTTTGAAATCTCGGTTTGGTTTTGGTTCGGTTCTTTCGGTTTGTGAAGTTTAGGATCCATTCGGATATTTTCTTTCGGGATAGATAATTCGGATATTTTTGGGTATTTTCGAATACTTTTTCGTATTTTTCATATTTTTTGGTTATTCAATCTAAAACTAACTTGTAAACAACATTCCGCATAAATATCTCTTTTGAGCTCTAATTAATTTCGGATGACAAAAAAAAATCTAAAATTAACTAATATTTTGGATATATGATTGTATTTCAGATATTTTCAGATATCCCAAATATTTCGGTTCGGTATCGGTTCGATTATAGAGTTTAGGATCTATTCAAATATTTTATATTTTTGGTTCGTTTTTTTTTTCTTATTCGGCTCCGGTTCAGTACTTTCGGTTCCGTTAATTTGCCGGGGACTAATTATACCGGTAGTATATCTTCTATAATTCATAATAAATGTGCTAGATTCACAAAACGTTTAAACCATCGTTAGATTTACATCAGCAATATTAGCCAAAGCAAATCATGAAAATAATTGTAAAAAACAACCAAAATGTTGGCAAATCATCTATGACTGTTAGATACCATTAAATTGATCATACACGCGTTACCATTTTCCCATCTTTGACCAAAAAATTGAAAAAAGAAGAAGCAAAATTCACAAAAGTGGCCTTTCTTTCTTAAAGCATCCTCTGCATGCGTTTCATTCATCAGAAACTCACAGATCCTTCAAGCATTCGTTGACATTGCCTTGAAGCTTTCTCTCCAAAACTTCTCCACAGATATTACCCATTAAATGATAAAATGCCATAAGCTCTGAGAGTTGCTCTATGTTCATTTTGTTCATCATGTTCCTCGCCATCCTCTTCTTATCCTCGTCTACTTTCAACTTTTTCATATATGATCCTCCATTCCTCACCGTCGCTCCCATCTCCTTCAGCCTCATCTCTTGCTCCGCGCTTAGCGCCGTGTTGGACTACCCCATACATAAAAGAACCAACTTAGTAAAAAGATACAATAATAATTCAACTATGATAAAACATGGGTCAAAAAAGTAGGACATCACTAAGGTTGTTGTGGTGGCCTGGTGGGTCACAATCCCGTGGGCGGGGCCTAACGATCGGCTCGCATAAATGTCCGTTTTTTAGTTTTCAAAACCCGCACCGCATGTTTTGGTCTAAACCCATTAAGACGGGTTTAGACCTACATGCATGTTTATGTCGTCCCACATGCATTTTTTGTTTCCCATGTGCCAAAATCAGAACCGGCACGAAATGGGCTGGTCTGTTCCGAGCCGCTTTAGCCCATCATAACAACCATAGACATCATCTAAAATGAATGCTAAATATATATATATATATATATATATAAACAAACTGACTATTACTATGCGACCCTTAAGGACAGCGAAAGGCCAAACAAGTGTCTAAAACCATTTTGCCTCTTGCAATAATATGGAATCAAAGATTATGTGAAGTTAAGTAGAGAGATTTAGTGATCATTTACCTCAAGAAACTCGGCTCCAACTTCGAGTTCTGATTCTTTTGATGAGTTCTTCCCTGGTGCTCCTCTAACGTACATATACTTAGCAAGTGAGAAACTCCTAACAAGTATCTTTCTTTTATTCTCCATTTCAGTATCAAGCTTCAATGTCTTTGGAACCGACAATGAGCTATTAAGCTTCTTCTGATACGCAATCACCGCCTTTGCAAATTCCTACATATTAAATCAAAACAACATAAAAACTCAATTTCACAACTTCTTTTCAGCTGAAAATGTAACTATAAGTATCTTCAAGAACACAAAACCTGATAAGCAGCAGGACAACCAGGATAATCAAACTCATCAAGATCATGTTGTCTCATTCTCTCTGGATGAAACTGCAAACCCATTATGAACTTCCCTTCTTCAGGATTATACGCATCCGGATCGTAAAAACCTTCCATTAACCCATCAGAAGCAAACGCCATTGGCACAAATCTCTGTGCCAATCTCTTAACACCTTGATGATGATAACTATTAACCAAAATCTCCATTTTATCACCATCCAATGAATCTTTAAACCAAGAATGAAGTGGACTGTTCTCAACAATCCTCACAACATGTCTATGTCCATCATAATTATCATAATCGATATGATTCGTTCTACGTTCTTCCGGTAACTTATTCGTAAGTTCTTTCTCTAAATCTAGATAAAGAGTCCCACCACAAGCAACATTCAAAATCTGCAAAAAGACACTTATCATCATTCTGTTACCAATCAAAAGACACAACTAAAAAAGAGACACTAGTTATTTACTTGTGATCCTCTGCAGATTCCTAAGTAAGGAATGTTCTGTTCAAGACAAAGCTTAGCAAGACCTAACTCAATAGAATCTTTCTCTTTATCAATAGCTGTATCACTAGCATGTGTTTCTCTAATCTCTTGAAGCTCTTCAGGAGAAAGAGAAGATATTTCAGATTCATAAAGAGAAGGATCAATATCTTCTCCTTCACAAAGTAAAACTCCATGAATTGGTTTAAAGCTCTCAAGTAACATGTGAACACCAGTTACTCTTGGTACAATCACTGGTACACATCCGTAACGTACTATCAAATCAAGATGATATTCACCTGAAAAAAAAAACACACAATTTTGAAATCAGATAACCACAAAAACTAGTCCGATTGGTAACACTAGTTGTACAAAAATTTTAGCTGTAAACTAGAGCGTCAGTTTTTACGGAATAATGCAAAACTGTAAAAATAGTGGTACATGAAAGCCATTTGCATTATGAAGAGAAAACAATCAAAAGTTTCGATTTGTAATTAAAAAAATCAGAATCCATTAAGAAAAAGGTTTTGATTTGTAAGACAAAAAAAACAGAACCATGCATGATTGAAAAAAAAACAAAAACAGAGTTATGTTTTGTTCGAACCAACGAAATCGACGAATTTGTTTTTACGAACGGTGCGTCTAGAAACGACGAGGACACGAGGGAGGATTTGAGAGAGATCATTCAGTTTTGGATCCATCTCTATTGTTCCCATTTGATTTAACCCAGAAAATGAAAAAATCAAATAACAAAAAAAAATTAGAGAACAAAATAGTTTCTGTGTTTTGTTAGATTTGATGGTGACGTGAGACGTTAACAGAGAGTTCTCGTGATAGAGATAGAGAGAAGCAAAAGGCGAATTTATAGTGACCAAAGAGAGGCTAAAGCCGACTTGGATTTTCTCTGTTTATTTTATTTTATTTTCTTACTATTTTTTCCAAATTTAAAATTATAAATATTGTTTTTACGGTTTCGTTTTTTTTTTCTGTTGTTGCATTGAAGGAATACAGAAGGAGACAGGTCTTATTAAGTTGCTGACTATATTGGAATTATAATGGATAAAGATATAAATTGATAAAGATTACTTTTGAGGAAAAGAGTTAATGAGGAAATGAATCGAATTCATATACGTTGTGTCTGGTTAACAACTTCCTCAGATCAAATCTAAATATTTTGAGTGGCTCTATGTAATTAATTTTATCTGGCCCACTTTAGTAAATTATAATTTTTCTGCTTAATTTTGCTTTTTTGGATATAAATTTACATTTTTCTTATTTTTGTACACTTTTGGATTTTCGAAAATAAGTACAATGTAATCATTTGGAAAAGGAAATTAAATATTAGTTACTTTATTTGCATTTGTTAGAAACGAATACGATGAATACTTTATTTGCATTTGTTAGAAACGAATACGATGAGTCTTTTTATTAATAGATAAATATTGTGTTTTTATTTTATATTTTACAAAACTTCTATCATTAATTAAATTTTATATATTACGAGATTTATTTAAATGAGAAATTGAGAATACATTTATATTTTCAGATTAATATAAATTTAATTTTTATTCTAATAATCAAAAATCTAAAATAGCTTTCTATTGTTGCTACAGAAAAATGTATTGTTCATACAACTTACATTAAGATAGACAAACTTATATCCAAAAATATATATAACATTTTTATACTTTAAAAGAACTTTTAAAAACTTCATTATTAATGAAATTATAATTTCGTTCTGAAAAATTTTGTATAGTTTATCTATGACTTGAGTCAGCTAAAGGTTTATGACACGTGTGGTGGGAAGGCTCTCTCTATGGTCCCCGTCATAGCTGACGTTTTACTATTTACGCAAGATTTATCTACGTACTACTATCAACTATCAAGTATCAAGTCATAACAAGAATAAAATAAACCAAAAAGGGAATTAAAAAAACAATCTGAAAGACTATAACAAATATTATAATTAATTTAATCTTAAATATTTATCATTTATTTTATTTTAAATTAAAATATTAATTATATGCATATACATTTTTAGACTACCGTCTGCTAGAGATATAATTGTATCAAAATATAAAAATGCATATATAAAGCATTCATGTCGGACCATGCAAAGATTTTTCTCGCCATATTGACCATAACAAGGGATGCGAAGGACCCGTGCAATATTGTGTCTGCGTTTCTGTCAAAATTGAATCTAAAATTATATTATTATTTTTCTCAACTGGTCAATGGATCGTTCAACAAGAGGGTCTGATCCTTTGTGTCTGCGTTTCGGGTCGATTGTTTTTTATATATTAATTGTAAAAAAATTCTAAAATATTTTTGAAAAGTATTGTAAAAATATTTTGTCTTTTGATTTATTTGACTGCAACCATGTTTTCTTCAATTTAACGTTTGTGGCTAATAAAGAACTACTCATTAAAATGAATATATAAGTTATTGGTTTAGTGGTTTAGATTCGAAAATAAAAAAGTTTTTGAAATCCACAGTTTAAATATCAAATTTCGCAATTCGGGTTAAATATCAAATTTTTTGGCGATGGACAATTTGGTGGTCCTGTTTTACTTTACTTTTATACATATTAGAGAGTTTTTTTATTTGACATGGTTATATTTAACATTTTAAAAGTACTAAGAAATGAATGAAGAAACATACATATCTACATAGCATGTAATAATTTGAGATGATTCAAATATTAGTTAAAACTTCTTAAAAACGGATATTGTGTAATATGATTGGTAATACGCAAACGCTTAAGTAACATCACAAAACAATTCTCACACGGCAAAATATGAATAAAATAAAAATTTCTCATTATATGAATGGAAAGTGGAAGAAAACATATTACGAACAAAAAAAGAAGAACCATTTGTAACGTCAATTTATGCTAGTTGAGTACACTACTCTTTCATTAAATAAAGAAAAATGCAAGTAGAGTAGTATTGTTGTCCAATGAAATAATTTAAGAACCCATTATCCTTAGATTTGTGGGCCGCAATCGAAAATATTATAATGGGCTTACTTTCTACAATATATTTTAATTGAGTATCATTTATAGTTTGGGCCAAAATGGAAACGTTGGGTCTTATCATAGTCAAATTGTTTTAACTTTATTTTATGTCTTCATTACTAAAATATTTTAATGAGGTAATCTAACATTTGTATTTTTTGATTTTTCCCATAAAATTTCGATTTGAAATATCCCATTTAAAAGAAAATAAAATCATACTTTTAGAAGAAGTAATTTGAAACTACTCAAATCTTATTATATATGTACAGTAGTACACACACATATTTTTGTACTGATGATCATACATATAGCTAAGAATTTAATATTGTAAGTTAATAAATTTTATGTTTTTTTAGAAAATAAGAATTTAATGCTGTTAATTTTTGTGTATTACATATCCGAAAGGAATAAATTAGTAGAGGTTCAGTATTGAGTCAGACATATTTTCGAAGAGTTGCTTGTTTCCCGTCATACAAAACACTAGATCATCACCCGTACTACAGTACGGGTTGAATTTCGTTTATTACAAAATTTTTATATTATATAGTTATAGAATAAAATCGTGATATATATAATAGTAAGTATTAATTTTTTTATGTCAGTCCATATATATATATCATATTAGAATGAATATATTTTTATTTTTCTGTAATCCTCAATTATGGATATATTTTTTAAAGATATGAAAACGGAAAATAATATTATTTTCAAAAAAAAAATATTGTTTGAACAATGAGTTAATTTATGTTAACAACCACAAAATGAGAGAGCATATAATTTAGTTAGATCAAAAATCAAAATATCATAAATGAATCGCATCTAAAACGTAGATTATTTTGAATTAGTTAAAAAAGTTAGCTATTATTTTGAATTAATTTAGGAAATTATTTTTTTCAAATTCTAATTCATTGGTTGTTGAAATAGAGATTTGTTTGAGCTAATTACGGAATTTACCAATTATTCACATAATCGAATATGTTATGAACATATATTTGGTATATAATAATACCAAACTCGATCCGTGTGTGGAGTCTATATTTTCATTTTACAATCCCTATGAAAATATTGTTGCACAATCTATTATTCATTATTTCCAAAATTGCTTGCAGAATTAAATTTTCAAATATTTAGAAGTGTCAAACCTTATTTAACTCATCTCATCATAAAATCTTAAAATGTCGTCTATTATAAGGATCATAACTTTCTATCATATAATACATTACTTTTAACCCGCCGTCTACTATAAATATATTAAACATATCTTTTTAGAAAATCAAATTAGTATTTATAATTTTTTATCTTTTTAATCTATTAAATATTTATGATATTATTTAAAATATTAAATTAAACTTTTTTTAAATGTTCCAAATTAAAATCTTTAAAATTTTTATTGTAGTTAGTAAAATTATGAATTTAAAAAAATATATATATGAAATTAAATATAAATATTCAAATAGTTATAAGGATCATAACTCATTTCATCATATAATACATTATATTTAATCCGCCGCCTATTATAAATATTTCTTTCAAAAAATGAAATTAGAGTATTTATATTTCTTAACTTTTTGATCTATTAAGTATTGATGATATTAAAAAAAGGAATATATTACTCAAATATGAATTTTTGACCCGTTAAATTTGTTTTTTCATACATTGAACAATTTATATTCGTTTTTAAAAATTCAAATCTTTGTATATGCGGAAAAAAATTTACTTTTTTTATTAAGTAGATGATATAATAATTTATTTATTTATTTTATAGAAATAGAATAATATAAGGATGAGAGGTGAAGTATAATGATTAATAACAAATTAATATAATAAGTTAGATATCAAATCTTATATGTTCATTTTGATTGGTCATTCGTTTTTAAAAAATTAATAATAGATTTTCGTTTTTATAATTAAATTAAATTAATTAAATTGCATAAAATAGTATTTGACTTGTTTATCCTTAATGAGTTGAATTAATTTACTCTATAAAATTTTATTTCTAATGGCATTCTTAAGTAAATTCTTACAAAAGGGAAGGTTAGTTAAGGGTATCTTATAAAGTGTACTCCCCAAATAATAGTATAGGATACTAAAACAATAACATCATTAAAACGTTTAAATTATTCATTAAATAGAAAAAAAAACAACTAACTAAGAAAACATATACTATTAGTTTAATTTCCACATTAAAAGAATACTCTCTTTAATTAAGTATTTATATTATTATTTTTATATTAGGTTTATCACAATTTTTTATAAATCTCCCTAAGAGTTTTTTATATATGGAAAAAATTACTTCAATATATAAAGCATATGATTTGTTACCAAAATACTAAAAAGATATGAATCTTAGAAGAGGTGGTGATTGGACGGTGATTGAAATCATTAGATAGGATTGTCATAGATTGAAACATGGTCACAGATCTTCCATGACTGCCTTCAAAACTCCAAGAAATTGAGTTTGGGAACAAAAAACCATAAGACTACAAACTTTTGGAATCATAGATCATAGCCATAGTTGAAGCAAAAACCAGGATTTCTCACCTACTATTGACTGTTTTTTTCTAACCAACTATGCAATAAAACGGCAGAAACGAAAAAAGGAGCCGGTTTATTAAATTGGTAAATTATAGTAAAAAGTGGGCAAAATATAAAGGTGAGTTAAAACAAATTTTTGGTTAAATTGTGTTTTGTTCTTTCTCCCAACTCCGACCAAAAAGTTAACGACACATATTTATTGTCTTTCCTCAATTTCAAGTCTTACTTGTATTAGCGACTAAGACTATAGGTTTCTAAATACTTATTACAAACTCCATGGAATAAATATAATTTTAGGTAACGGGTCTATTGAAAACTGAATCGGCCAAGTTAGTCCCCACCTTTCAAATTCAAATCCAGATAATTTGGTAAGCCATCAAAACAAAAGTTTCTTCATCTTTCCTTTAACCTTTAAAGTAGATTTCAAGTGACTCTCTTTAAGAATAAAACAAAAGATATACTATCTTTATAAATTGTATTGATCAAGACATATATTGGGTTTCAGAAAACCATAAGGACTTAATGTGTGAAAGAATTAGTTGAGTGCATCATTCATGTATTACTTAGAATATATCTAATTTGGTTTGGTCGAGATGTAAATAAAAAATGTTAGATAAGAATTGGTTAATGATTTTGGTTTAGTTTGGAAGTTTAAGCGATATCAATGGGAATTGTATTGGTGCCCCACTAAAATGTTTGGTGTGTCTTGTTAAAATTTGTAATCATTAAATGAAGTAACACAAATTTTATCATAATCAATTAACGTAACTACATTTGTTAAATAATTACTCTTACAGTGTGACTTGTTAGTTGGTAGCTACAATTTGACTTCTATCAAATAAATCACAAAGGATTAAGTCATGGTATCTAGTTGACAAGTCTTCTGAGACTTTGTATAGTAGCTAAGTCTAAGTGATGACTGATGACCCATGTACGATATAATAGACCAAGACAGATAACAGACAAAATCAGTCAAAGCATTATATTTTCTTAAATCGACTTAATTGACATCCTAAACAGTTTATAACTCTAGGCTCCCATAACTCTATGTGACTTAATATGAATGTTTTAGGTGTTGATCAGTTGTTAATCAGGTGGCATAAATCATTTTACACCTAGTCATGGACACAGCATTTTTTCTCTTGTTCTAGCTCATATCCATGTGGGTGCACATGCACTTGTATATATGTTAAGTGTACTTATTTTATTTTATTGTTAGCAAATGTGCCCAAGAAAATGCCACATATCTTATCAACCCTGTCAAATCCATATAAGAATATTTAAGCCTTTACAACTTGTGGTTCATTTTCCTAAATATATATCATAAATTTTAACTTCTGCCAGCTCATAATTTATTCCTTAAATTGTTTAGTACAAAGTTTGTTTGAACATGGTTGCCGAATATGATAATAATATTTTCTTTTACCGTATAAAAACTAAAAACCCATAATCAACATTTTAATTATGCATGCTAAGCAAGGAATTAATTGAGGTGCCATCAAATGTTGGCTCACGAAAAAAGAAGAAAATAAACACATAATCCAAATAAGATAAAACTAATTTTACTTTACTGCATCAAGGCATCAACATATAAATAAGTTGGATATATATTCCACATATAATATGTGGATTAAAATATTTTCTAGTGAGAGTCATATATTATAATATTATATGATAAGTTTGTTTGAGACCGACAATAGAAACATGGCCACCTCATCAAGGCAGTATTGGACGCGGTTTCTCCTCCAATGCCAATGATTATGCCAACAATACAAACTGAATAAAATTTTTTGACAACCACAAAAAGAGTGTTGAAAACAATAAGGTAAAGTAATTTGTATTTTTTTTCATACATCTTTTCGGGCCAAAAGTCTAGATAGAGATTATTTGCAACGTTTGAACTTAAGATCTGGTTTTGTCCTTAAAAAAAAAAAAGAACTCAAGATCTGGCCCGACTCATATTTGAGCATATCTCTATATATAAAGTAGGTAATATATATTTTGAGCGAGAGAGAGAGAGAAATGGTGAGGCAACCATGTTGTGACAAGGTAGGGTTAAAGAAAGGGCCATGGACTATTGAAGAAGACAAGAAGCTCATCAACTTCATCCTCACCAATGCCCATTGCTCTTGGAGATCTCTTCCCAAGCTTTCTGGTTCACTCTCTCTCTCTCTCTCTCTCAACTTCAAAACGACACCGTTTCATGTTCAAAATTTCAGTTTTGTTAAACACTTTTTCTTTACCCTGTCTCTTACCGACAAAAACTATACTGTTTTGTTTGTGTTTTGGAAAAAAAAAAAAAGGCGCTTTTTCAGTCCTACTGATTTCTATTATTTGGTTTCTAATCAATTTTAATTTGTAGTTAAGTATCGTTAATTTAATCACTATATTTGTTAATAAATTAAATGCAGGACTATTGAGGTGTGTTGAAAGCTGCAGATTGCGATGGATAAATTATTTAAGACCTGATTTAAAAAGAGGTCTTTTATCAGAGAGTTCCGTTCACTGTCCGAAAAAATCAAACTTTGGTAAGAAGAAGATGAAGAACACGACCAACTTAAGCTTCTCTGTCTTCTTCTTTTTCTTCTGTCTCATTTCCGTAACATCAGATCTAGAAGCTGATCGACGAGCATTAATAGCTCTCCGTGACGGCGTCCATGGCCGTCCATTACTCTGGAATCTATCAGCACCACCGTGTACTTGGGGAGGAGTCCAATGCGATTCGGGTCGGGTCACAGCACTCCGATTACCCGGTGTGGGTTTATCTGGTCCATTACCAATCGCCATTGGAAACTTAACAAAGCTCGAAACTTTATCTTTCCGATTCAATGCTCTTAATGGTCCTCTCCCACCGGATTTCGCTAACCTAACTCTCCTTCGATACTTGTATCTTCAAGGAAACGCATTTTCCGGCGAGATTCCTTCGTTTCTCTTCACTTTACCAAACATTATTCGGATCAATCTCGCTCAAAACAATTTTTCGGGTCGGATCCCGGTTAATGTCGATTCAGCTACCCGGTTAGCTACTCTTTACTTGCAGGATAATCAACTTACCGGTCCGATCCCGGAGATTAAGATTAAGCTTCAGCAGTTTAATGTTTCGTCGAATCAGTTAAACGGGTCGATTCCGGATCCGTTGTCGGGTATGCCCAAAACCGCCTTTTTAGGGAATTTGCTATGTGGGAAGCCGTTAGATGCTTGCCCCGTCAATGGTAACGGCACTGTGGCGCCTGTGAAAGGAAAAAGCGACAAGTTATCCGCCGGAGCTATTGCCGGAATAGTGATCGGTTGTTTCTTAGGGCTTCTCTTGGTTTTCTTGATCTTGTTCTGTCTCTGTAGAAGGAAGAAGAAAGAGGAAGTCCAATCTAGAAACATTGAAGCAGCTCCTGTTCCGATTTCATCCGCCGCCGTAGCTAAGGAATCGGCGGTGGCTAATGGTCCTCCTCCGGTGGCTAATGGTGCACCACATTCATCAAAGAACCCTGTAGTGAGTAAAGATTTGACATTTTTTGTGAAATCTTTCGGAGAGTTTGATCTTGATGGATTGCTAAAAGCTTCTGCGGAAGTACTTGGTAAAGGAACATTCGGATCATCGTACAAGGCGAGTTTTGATCAGGGATTAGTGCTTGCTGTGAAACGATTGAGAGATGTGGTTGTTCCTGAGAAAGAGTTTAGAGAGAAATTGCAGGTTCTTGGATCAATAAGCCATCCCAATCTTGTGACATTAATCGCATATTACTTCAGCCGCGATGAAAAGCTCGTTGTTTTCGAATACATGTCTAGAGGAAGCTTGTCTGCGCTTTTACACGGTAAAAAACAATCTTTCTATTGTTTCCAATTCCTTCATTTAGATTTTTTAGTGATTATAGATTTATAAAACCAAGACTTTGGTATTCACAGGGAACAAAGGAAGTGGTAGAAGTCCATTGAATTGGGAAACAAGAGCCGCTATAGCGTTAGGAGCCGCAAGAGCGATTAACTACCTCCATTCGCATGACGCGACAACATCTCATGGCAACATTAAATCTTCTAACATTCTCTTGTCTGAATCCTTTGAGGCCAAGGTATCTGATTACTGTTTTGCACCTATGATCAGCCCTACTTCTACACCTAACCGCATTGATGGTTACCGAGCTCCTGAAGTAACCGATGCTCGTAAAATCTCCCAAAAGGCTGATGTTTACAGCTTCGGTGTTCTCATTCTTGAACTACTCACAGGTACAACACATACAAAACAAAGTTCTTGAAAACCACATTTTTCGGTCAAAATGTGATTCAAATATTGGTTTGTATTAATTTGCAGGGAAATCTCCAACGCATCAGCAGTTACATGAAGAAGGAGTAGATTTACCGAGATGGGTTTCATCGATAACTGAACAACAATCACCATCGGATGTGTTTGATCCAGAGCTCACAAGGTATCAATCGGACATCAACGAGAACATGATCAGGCTTTTAAAGATCGGTATAAGTTGTACGGCTCAGTATCCAGATAGTCGTCCTACAATGCCTGAAGTCACAAGGCTCATTGAGGAGGTTTCTCGTTCACCTGCTTCACCAGGTCCTTTGTCTGATTGATTTTTTTTTTTTTTTGGTATGGGGTCTAAATTGATCATTTCAAAATTGTTTTGTCTAAATTTGAATTTTTTATATAGTTTGTTTGGTGATTGTTTAAGTCAGTTGAGAGATACGTTGAAGATTTTTTTTTTTTTATGTTTTAAATTTTTTTTTAGTGAATTCTTTTATATACAAATTGTTTGAGTGTGAAACAAATATTAAAAGTATGTCTCTCCTTTTCTATTGGCCGCCCCATCAATTTGAATTTAGTAACTTTTACTTATTTCATGAAACCTATCCACTATTGACTCTTTCTTTCTAACCAACTTATGCAAATATGCAATAAAACGGTAGGAACGAAAAAAGGAGCGTACTTATTAAATTGATAAATTATAAAATTTGTGCAAAATATGAAGGTGAGAAAATACTTTCTGTCGTTCCTCAATTTCAAGTTTTATTTTGTATTAGTGATTAAGACTAAGTATCTAAATACTTATTACAAACTGCATGGAGTAAATATAGTTTTAGGTAACGGGTCTATTCAAAGTTTCTTAGTTGAATCTGCCAAGTTCGTCCACACCTTTCAAATTCAAATTCAGATAATTTGGTGATGCCATCAAACCAAAAGTTTCTTCATCTTTCCTTTAATCTTTAAAGTAAACTAGATAGAAACACGCGCTACGCTTTGACGTATTTTTAAAGCCTCTCATTATTTCTCAAGTTCTCAAACAGAATACACTCTCAGTTTTAAAATCTCTGTCTCTCTCTCTTGCTTCTTAAAAATAAGTTCTTAGTTTAGTAGTTTCGACAGTATATCGTAAATCAAGTTCGCTTGAGTCTATTTCTTGTGTGCTCGTGTACTAATTCGTGATCGGTTGTATCCTGGGATTCAACTATCGGCCGTAAGTGCTTCCGGACAATATCGATTTATGAATTCTAGGATACAACCGATCACAAACTTATACCCAAGCACATGAGATATAGACTCAAGCGAACTTGATCTACTATATACTCTCGAAACTACTAAACTAAGAACTTACTTTTAAGAAGCAAAAGAGAGGCGCGATTTTAGAACTAAGAGTGTTTTCTGTTTGAGAGCTTGAGAAATAGTGAGAGGCTGCGTCTCTTTATATAGTATAATTCTTAGAGTATTCCCCAAGTTACTTGGAGTTCACTCTAAGTTTTTGCCAAAAAATGGAATATTTCTATAACATTCAACTCTCAATATTGGACCTATCCACGGTCCAAAAATTACTCGGCAAGGCCCAAGAGCCCACGACCCACAAGCCGACGATCCAACGACCAGCGCCCGTGCCCAGCCTGGTTCGGTTCGGTTTGGTTTGGCCCAAGTTGCTCACTTTACCCACTTATTTCTCATTCAAAAATCAACTCTGTTTTTGACGTATGAGTATATCATCTTATAGTACTATCGTTACCAGCTTTCCATTACACTATCAACCCGACAATTCCGGTCAGTCGGAATTTAGCGGATAGTCACCGAAAAATACTTTGTCAAAAAAGTTCCAACAATATATAGCATGATGAATGAAAATATATATATATATATAGCATGAAATTTAAACAAAATAGCGTGGAATTTGAAAATAGCATGACATATGAAAGAACGACTTGTTAAATAAATTAGTAACGTGCTAAAAGAGATCAGAGAGGAGATGGCGGGACATAAGTGGACATCATGACCAGAGATGGAGGGAAGGAGATAGAGAGTGACTGAAGAGTGACAAGGTCTCCGATTCTTCCGATCCGGCATTGGAAGGGGAGAGATCTAGTCATCGAAAAACTAAGAAATATATAGCTCCATCGCCAAAAGAGAGAAACATAGTAGTATAGCTTCATCTTTCTTTCCTTGTTCAATTTTGTAGAAGAGATAGAAACGAAAGACAACAATTAGGGGGCTATAAGAGTAATTGTCATTGGAAAAGTGGCCACCTGGGAATTTACCTGCGGACTTGCTCAGGCGCCCCAGACCACCAGTTTATCAGGGGGCCCTTAAGTGGAGGCTTAAAAATCCATGTGACGCGGGCTTAGGCCCAGTGGACTAGTCAGATCACTGTGTGGTCTGGATACTGGGTTATCAAAAAAAAAAGAGATAACGTAACTATAACACCATAGTTATCTTGTTAAACGATGATATGAAGAACTTTATCAAAAAACGATGATATGAAGAAGATAATAATAGGTAGTTAAGAATGGTGGAGTATTTAAAAGTTTGACTATTAACATTTTTTAAAACGTTATATCTTCTTCATATCATCGTTTAAAAATCAGCAACACAATTTTGGCTCCGAAGATGAGCTTCAGTATTGTTATCTCTTGATCTACTTATAGCAAATTATTTTACTTATGTTCGAGTGACGCTTGGGACGAAACTAATATTACATGTCGTGGTTTCGGGCATGGAGGAATTACGGGCTTTGGTCCAGAATCTCCTAATATTCAAAATTTTTTTATTTTACTTATAGACTTCTAGCCACTAAGCCACACATAATGTCTTAAAGACTTACATCGAGATAAAACTCTTTCGATTCGATTAATATGTATTTGCACACGGTCCATATTCACGAAGGCCTTATAGACACTACAATACTTATACAAATCAATGTGTAAATGAGAAACTAAAATTGAAAAATTAGTGGCAATCTTAATCTTACATTCTTTGAATTCCCCAGATCATGTCGTATTGTACACAACCTATAATATGGTAATTACTTTTTACTAAAAAAAAAGAGATAAATTATATTCCCTACTTGACAAAAAAATAAAAGATAGATTTTTAACTATATTTTCTCTACTTGACATAAGATAAAAGATTTGATTTTCTGTATTTTCCATTTATGTTGATATTGTTGGTTGCTCTAAAATTTATTTTGATAAATTTATAAAAATACCACAAAAGTACCACAAGCTTACACTTCTTTCGGACGGAAGAGTATTTCATGAGCACAAGGTGGTGATGTGAATCGTGATATTTGATAAAGTCAATATGAGCTTAATCATTTTCATTTGTTTTGCAAGTTAATAGTGGTAGGAATTAATTAATTAGTCTATTTTTTCTTTTTGGTTACTAGAAGTCTATGAATCTATATTCCATTACTACATTTTTCCCTTGTACAAATAAACATTCCATTTGTTTTGTTTTCCAACTCAAACTCAAAATACTAAATGAATAAGACATAGAAAAACAGTGGAAGTGTGTGTTCTTTTAATTGGAACCAATAAACACCACACTTTTTCATTGGAACACCAAACCTTTTAAGCTTCAACGTTGCATGAAAAACTCCCAACAACCATCATCATCACTGACATGTTGTTATATAAGATTTAGATTTATTATTAATAATACTTTCTTATTATAAATATTGAGATTTAACAACTAGGATAAGGAATATTACAAGCTTCTAAAACTTTGCGAGCAAATGGAGAGCTAACAAACATACTATATAATGGGTTTTTAATGTAACCACATAAACATGCTTTTTGCTCAATCAGTTTGTCGCAACAATCTTTAGCCGGTTGTCCTCCTGTAGTCATTGCCGGTAAGCATGGCATGAGATCTGTTGGAACACACGACTGAGCCTCTTCTGCTTTATTCAAAATAGGAGATGACATGACGACTATCACAAATGTGATGATCATTAGTGTCATGAACTTCATGTCTTGATACTTTGATGATTCTTTTTTTTGCTTTCAATTTTTTTAAGAGATATATATTTGAGATTTTGGTTTTGTAGGTTTTTAGGATGGTAAAACACTTATATATAACATTTACATAGTTGTAACAGGCAAGTCAGATTGGTCTTATTTCGTTAAGAAAAATTCATCTATTTGGCAACCATGCAAATAAAGTGAAAGTTAGGATTCATGTTCCACAAATGCTTACACATGTGTTGAGTGTATAAAAGTTTTAAGTAAAATTCTTCCATTTGGCAATCATACACAATAAAGTGAAGATCCATGACTCATGTTCCACAAATGCTCACACATGTGTCGAGTGTGTAGGTTGCATAGTGTCACAGTGATATGTACGTTAAAGTATAAAGAGAATTTTCCATATGAGAAATATTGTAACTCATAAAAGAAAACTACCATATAAACCCAAAATAAAGTTGATAAAATTTTATGTATAAACTACCAAAATTATTCCTATTAACATCAATATTGTGAAATAAAAAGATTCTTTTCTGTTTTTTTCTTTCCCTTTGTCAATTTTTTTTTTCAAATTTTATTTAATTTTTTGTTTGTTTACTAGATATTAACCCGCGGTACACCGCGGGTCTATATTTTCTCTAAATAAAAAAATGATTTTTTTAGAATGATCTATAGATATATGGTAAACCGCATGTCAATATTTTATAACTAAAAAATCAAAATTTAAGTTGTATTTGTTTTATTTAGTGTTTAAGATTGTATAATTGTATTTTGATCGCTAATTCTAGGATTTCACCCGTAATATATCATCTCGTATTAATATCGATCTAAATCCGTCCCACTATATAACCCCGTCCCGTGAAATTAAACATCATTTTTGTAATTTTTTTTATAAAGTTCAAATATTTCTAATATTTGAAACTTCATAAAAGTTTTAATACGACCCAAACTTCATAATTGTATTTTGATTGTTATATCTAGGATTTCACCCGTAGTATACCGTCTCGTATTAATATCTTTTATAAATATTTATAATGTTTAAACTACTAATAAATTCTTATAAAATTCAAATATTTATAATATTTGAAACTTCATAAAAGTTATAATATTATAAATAATTAAAACGTTTAATAAAGTTAGACTTTTTTAAAAGTTTAAATAATTATAATATTTAATTTTTTAATAAATTTTAAATATTTGGATCCACATTTATACTATATACTATAGAAATTAGAGTTTATGAGTTTAATAAGTATACTTTAATAAGAATTATTACAGTAATAAAATTTACAATCAATTATATATGTCTTACAATTTGGATGTATGAAATTGTTGATCTCATTTGTAAGCATGGGTGGAATTCAAAACATTTGGGTTATAGTTTGTATTTTCGTTTTTTATTTTTTCTTTTAAGTTTTTTAAAAATCAATGCTATCAAACTGTAGTTATCTTATATATATATATATATA